CCTGTATTTCACAGGGTTAGCTACTTTGATTCCTTGCGATCTTGCTCGGCACGAAAAGTGCAAAAACGCATAATCGCACCGGCCCGCCTGGTGCGTTCCAGCCTGGGTTTTTATCCTTCAGCCCATACTGTAGCAAATTAGACTTGCTTGGAAAAACTGCAGTGTGTCTAACATCGCCAGCAGTCTGCAGTGCATTCCCCTCTTTTGCTGGTCATTAGATTTTATGGCGCATTACGAGGCTGTTATTTTCACAGCAGTCTTTAGAAATTTGTTGTCAGTTTAGGAGGAGAAGGAATGCGCTACCACCATAGACGTTATCGCGCAGCACATGAAGTTTATTGCAACCATGCGGCTTCTGGTCGAAGAATTGGCTAGTCTAGCGAATGGTTTTGAGGTGGATGGTGGTCAGCTGCGTTATCAGGTAACGCCAATTTAGGTTTTTATTTTTAGTTGTACCATTAGATTCTTATACTATTTCCATTTTTTTGAAACGCCACGCTGCAGTAAAGCTTATTTTTCAGCTCTTGAATTGGCTAGAGGGCGGTGTTGAAGTGTTACAAAAAATATGCGATTATCGTAGCGATTCTAATAAAATAGCGGACACTGAGACTTGTGAGAAAGATGGTTACAAGGTCAGCAACGATATAAGGTTAGATTGCTCGCTGTTGAATTATTCTGTGTTTCTAAGCCGACACAAGGTATTTCAAATATTTAATATCCGTGTATGCTGTGGGAATGTTGTTTTTACATTTTCACAGGACTTACAAAATTCTTGCCAGCTCAATTACTGGGCTTAAATATCCCCACTTCATAGTGTAATCGTGCAGAATTTATCTGAAACTATGTCTCGGATGACAAACTTAAAAACACTTTGGCATCCAGAAAACATCGGGACGCAGACGGGAGGGGACGATGCAAGCGTGAGTCTTTTAAGGTTAGATCGTTTTTAACTTACTCTTGCTTGATTAACTTCTAGAATCCAGCCTCACACGTATGTTAGCCGTCGTGAAGGAACGGCGTTCGCAGTTAATTTGGAGAACCATAGTAGCGGCGATGAAATTTGCTGTGATCAGCACTACTGTCAAGGGAAAATAGGGAAGCGAATTTTGTGAGTGCCAACAGACTGACCGCGCGGTGATGCTGCTTGTTTCGCAGAAAAGATTGCTTGCTGTGTAGGGTTTTATGATCGGTGTTCGACCAAGGTATGAGCGTGTGTGTGTGTGTGTGTGTGTGTGTGTGTGTGTGTGT